AATCCTTAACAAAATACGAGCAAATTGAATTCAACAATATATAAAAAGAATTCTACACTACAACCAACTGGAGTTTAATCCAGGTATGTAAAACTGATTCAACATTTGAAAATCAATGTAATCCATCACATAAACAAACTAAAGAAGAAATATCACATGATACCAATAGATGCAGAAAAAAACATTTGACAGAATCAAAGAGCCATTCATGATGGAAACTCTCAGCAAACTAGGAAGAGGGAAACTTCCTCAACTTCATAAATAACATCAACAAAAACCCTACAGCTAACATCATACTTAATGGTGAGAAACTAGAAGCTTTTCCACTAAGATCAGGAACAAGGTAAGGATGTTCCCTCTTACCACGAGTTTTCCACATTGTACTAGAAGTCCTAACTAATGAATAAGACAAGAAAAGAAAATGAAAGGTGTACAGTTTGGGAAGGAAGAAATAAAACCCCCTTTATCTGTAGAAGACATGATTGTCTATGTAGAGAATGCAAAAGCATTGAGAAAAAAAAATTCCTGGAACTAATAAGCAGTTACAGCAAGACTGCAGAGTATAAGGTTAATACACAAAAGTCAATCACTTTCATATATAACAGCAATGAATAGGTGGAATTTGAAATTAAAAACAATACCATTTACTTTAGCACCTTCAAAAATAAAATACTTAGGTATAAATCTAACAAAATACATACAAGATTTATATGAAGAAAACTACAAAACTCTGATAAAGGAAATCAAGAAAGAACTAAATAAATGGAGAGATATCCCCATGTTCATGGATAAGAAAATACTGTCAAGATGTCCATTCTTCCCAACTTGATCTATAGATTCAAGGCAATCCCAATCAAAATCCCAGCAAGTTATTTTGTGGCTATCAACAAACTGATTCTAATGTTTATATGGAGAGGGAAAAACCCTAAAGAGCCAACACAATATTGAAGGGAAAGAACAAAGTTGGAGGACTGACACTACCCAACTTCAAGACAGTACGGTATTGGTAAAAGAATAGACAAATCAATGGAACAGAATAGAGAGCCCAGAAATAGTCCCACACAAATACAGTCAACTGATCTTTGACAAAGGAACAAAGGCAATACAATGGAGCAAAGACAGTCTTTTCAACAAATGGTACTGAAACAACTGGATAGCCACATGCAAAAAAAGGAACCTAGACATAGACTTTGCACCCCTCACAAAAATTAACTCAAAATAGATCACAGACCTAAATGTAAAATTCAAAACTATAAAACTCCTAGAAGATAGTATAGGAGAAAACCAAGATGACCTTGGGTATGCCAGTGACTTCAGATCTAACACCAAAGGCAGGATCCATGAAAGAAATAATTGATAGGCTGGACTCATTAAAATTAAAACCTGCTGCTCTGTGAAAGCCAATGTCAAGAGAGTGAGAAGATAAGCTACAGATTGGGAGAAATTATTTGCAAAAGACAGATCCGATAAAGGACTGTTATCCAAATACACAAAGAACTCTTAAAACTCAGCAATAAGAAAACAAACAACCTGATTAAAATATGTGCCATGGGCTTCCCTGGTGGCGCAGTGGTTGAGAGTCCGCCTGCCGATGCAGGGGACACGGGTTCATGCCCCAGTCCAGGAAGATCCCACATGCCGCTGAGCGGCTGGGCCCATGAGTCATGGCCGCTGAGCCGGCGCGTCCAGAGCCTGTGCTCTGCAGCGGGAGAGGCCACAACAGTGAGAGGCCCGCGTACCACAAAAAAAAAAAGAAAAAAAAAAAAAGTGCCAAAGTTGTTAATAGACACCTCACTAAAGAAGATACACAACTGGAAAATAAGAATACGAAAAGATGCTCTACTCTACATGTCATTAGAGATATGCAAATTAAAACAACAATGAAATACTACTATATACCTATTAGAATGGCCCAAATCCAGAACACTGACACCACCAAATGCTGGCGAGAATGTGGAGCAACAAATGAACGCTCATTCACTGCTGGTTGGAACGCAAAATGATACAGCCACTTTGAAGACAGTTTGACAATTTCTTACATAACCAAATATACTCTTACTATGTGATCCAGAAATCGCATTCCTTGGTATTTACCCAAAGGAAGTGAAAACTTATGTCCACACTAAAACCTGCACATGAATGTTTATAGCAGCATAATTCACAGTTGCCAAAACTTGGAAACAATCAAGATGTCCTTCAGTAGGTGAATGGATAAATAAACAATTGGTATAGCCAGACAGTGGTATGTTTCAAGAAATCAAATAATGGAATAGGCACACTATGTGTCCACATGGTAGGTAAAAATACATCCTAGGTGAAATTTCAGAATAATGGGGATGAAGAGAAGCTTCAAAGGGAATAAACAGGTTTCACACAAAACTAAAGATATAAATTTAAGAAAGATTACATGGGAAAATAAAGATGTGGGAATAAACTGAGGATAACACAAAAGAAAGGTGAAGAGGTTGTCCAGGAACTCAGAAGCCTCCAGGAGAGATTTCTTTTAGAGTTTGAAATGGATAGAATATAAAACATGCTTGAACATAAAGAAAGATGTATATGGCAGTAAGAGAGTTTAAGGCTGAGTTAATGAGTATATAGCAAAATAAACACATAACAAAGAAATCAAGATTTACTCTAAAACAAAATTTTGTACAATAAAGGAAAAGTAATCATAGTACTCTACGGTTCAATTGAGAATAGCCTATAACAAGTTACAATACAAATAATCAATTTCAATCTAATCACAATTATAATATCATAGTATTAAGATAGGGAAGCATGTGTGGGTGGGTAACGGGTAAGGAGATGAAGAGTTAAATCCTGGGTTGCCAAAAAAAAAGAAAAGGAAGAGTTAAAGTGTGTTGTCAGTTGAAAATGCCTCAAGCTAAAAAAAAGAAAAAAAAAAGCAATATAAACATTCCACTTACATATATGGAGATAAATAAAAGAATCAGCTAAATTAAAAGTGATTGCCTTTGGTGAGAAGTAAATGACAGGGGCATAGAGGGGACTGTTCATCTTGTTTTTGTAATAATTCTTGTAGGTCTATTGTTCCTTTAAACTATTAGCATGTATATAACTCTGATCAAAATAACTCTTAAAAAGTGTTGTGCAGTTAAAAAACCCCGAAAGGTTGGGAATAAAGGATATAGTGTAGCACACAGCTTTCAATCTATGATAGCTTTGAAAAAAAAATTAATTAATTTTTGGCTGCATTGGGTCTTTGTGGCTGCACGTGGGCTTTCTCTAGTTGCAGTGAGCGGGGGCTACTTTTCATTTCAGTGCATGGGCTTCTCATTGCAGTGGCTTTTCTTGTTGCGGAGCATGGGCTCTAGGCGTGCAGGCTCAGTAGTTGTGGTGCACGGGATTAGCTGCTCCCCAGCATGTGGGATCTTCCCGGACCAGGGCTCGAACCCATGTCCCCTGCCTTTGCAGGCAGATTCTTAACCACTGTGCCACCAGGTAAGTCCCTATAATAGCTTTTATTGTTAACATTTGAAGGGTATATAAAGGTAACTTGGACTAATCGTATCATTGTACAGGTGTGGAAACTGAGGCTCAGAAAAGGAAGTTACATCAAGGTCACACAGAAAGAGCAAAGGTCCAGTTGGGATGGTGAAACAGTGATCAGTCAAGACTGCGATAGCCTGGCCAAGAATAGGAAACAGGGATACAAAGTCAAGTTGCCACTTTTCCTAGGCTATGAGATTCAGACCAAGGGAGGGATTGCCAGCTTCGAGACTGCCAGAAGAGATGGTCTACATCATTTAAACCGAATTGTGAGGCACAGTCATGAAGCTCCCACTGCTATGAATCTTCTAGGTTTTGTTAAAAAGGCATCCAGGCACCTAAGTGATATTTAGAAGGATATGGAGTAAACCAAGCAGGTATGCAGGCATCTAGGGGGCATGTCATGAGGCTGGAAAATGTAATCAGTATCTTCACCAAGGTGTTTATCTATCTTTACTTCCTCATCCATGGAGCTTAGGGTCAAAGCTCCTAAGCTTTGTTCACTAATCTAATGACACTTTTGGACTAAGCAAACCCAGTAACTAGCTGGGGCTAGATGCATAAGATACATTTGGAGAAATCACATGACAGTACCCTGACTAGAGCTGGACATAAATGCCACCTGCAGGCTCTGTTGTTTTCCAAAGGTTATTTGGGGAGGAAACTATGGCTGGCCTTCCCTCCAAGTGCTAACATTCTAGGATTTGGGTGGAGACAAATTCAACTCCTAAGAAAAAGACTACCCTAACTTCCATGGGGATCATTCCAATTGCTTAGATTTCCCTAAGAAGATGGAGTATCTACAGAGTAACAAAAGTAAGGTTTCACATATGTATCTTAATTTAGACATAAAAAATGAGTATTGTTCTTTTTAGTTACCCCACAGGGAGGCTGTATATCTATGTTTATCTATTCTAAAGGGGTAGCTGTTTTAGAGTTACCTCCATATATAGTTTATGAAATGGGAACAGATACGCACAACACAGGTGGTTATGCACCCACTTTAGTTACCAGATTTTGTTTTGAATCAAACGTGCACTGAAATACTTTCACAGCACCAAGATTTGCCACCATCAATGACGTTAAAAAAAAACAGAGCAGTGTCATACATATATGAGTGGCGGCAGAATTATTACAGTGCTGGAAGGGTTCTGGAAGGGATCACTAAAGAGGGAGCACCCCAAACTGGAAAGGATGGGTATAATTACAAACTGGGCCAGGGAGCTCCTGGTGCTGGCCCCATGTCCACCCCACCCCCATGCCCCAGATCCCCAACGCTGAGTTCACAGAACATCTATCCAAGTTTCTTTGATTGTTTTGACAGAATGGAGGTTTCTCTGAAGTTATTTCAAAGTTAAAAAAATATTTTTTAAGATTCTGTTTAGATTTATAAATGGATAGGGGGCTAATTATTGGTGCAGTAAAAGAGAAAATATAGACACTGGGGCCTGGGGCTTGTTGCAGCTAATACTGTGATCTGCTCTTACCTGTGGGGGCCTGCATGGCTGAGCTGGGGATGGTGGCAGCATCTTGGGGTACAGTGCTGGTATCCGGTTCAGGGGTGCTGGTTGTTGGTGAGGTGGGTGGTGGGTTCAGCAAAGTCCGAGGTTTCCTCTGTCAAAATGGATGGGGAAAAGTTTCTACCCATGATAGGTAACTTGTCTTCTCATTCCTCTATTCTTAGTACTTAATTCACGCATGAAACTGAAATACATTTGTGGATGGGACTGTTTTAATCTTTTTTTTTTTTTACAGTTGATATATAGTTGATTTACAATGTTGTGTTAGTTTCTGGTGTACAGCAAAGTGATTCAGTTATATATTTATATATGTGTATTCTTTTTCAGTTTCTTTTCCATTACAGGTTATTACAAGATACTGAATATAGTTCCCTGTGCTATACAGTAGGACCCTGTTGTTTACCTATCTTATATATAGTTGTGTGTATCTGGTAATCTCAAGCTCCTAATTTACCTGTCCCTGCACTTCTCCCTTTGGTAACCATAAGTTTGTTTTCTATGTCTGTGTGTCTGTTTCCTAAAGGTGTTAAAACTAAGTTCATTTGTAACACTTTTTCAGATTCCACCTATAAGTGATATCATATGATACATATTTTTTCCACACAGCATCTTGCCCAAAGCTGCAAATACAGGAGATGTTTAATAAATATGTATAAGATTCTGGGTTTCTGTATAGCCACAGCTTAATTCACTATCTTTTCTACTGTATTCAATATTATCATCTGAAGTCCAGGTTCTTTATTAGTTGGACAGAAAAAAGCAAAAAAAGGAAAAAATATGCTGTGGCTTAAGTCTACTTTGACATTAGTTTGTTTCCCTCTGTTGAAAAATGGAAACCTCCCTCCCCCTAACTCCACAAACTACTTTCCCCTGCCTACCTCTTCAGCTTATTACCTGTCATTTCTTATCTTAAACCTTATACTCCAGTAATCTCTAACTATAGTAGTTCTCTCAAAACCTGCAGTTTTACCTGGTCCTTGCCTTTACAATAATAAACCATCCCTTTTGCCTGGAATACCCTTTCTTTCTTTCTTTCTTTCTTTTTTTTCCTTATAAATATCTGTTTATCCAGGAAGCTTTTCTGGATAAGCTTTACTGTCTCTTTTGTGCTATTTCTGTACTTTGTATTGTTGCATTTATCAAAGTGTATTGTCAATATATATTTACATACTGGTGTCCCCTATTAGCCTGGTGCTCCTTGAGGGTCTGATTCTGTTTACCATTCCTACATGGTACTTGGCATATGATAAGTGTCAATAAATGTCTTTCAATGAAGCATACAGTATAGAATACCAATAATGGGGGAAGTAATAAAAATGATTTGAGAAGAATCTAGTATCTCCTCTACGCTGGTCCAGGCAGTCTCTGGGGCACAGAGATCTCAGAAAGCTTTTTCCAAGAAACAGTTTTCTAAAAGCCTTTCTGAATGCAAGGAAAACATAACCATTTCTGAGATCCAGAAATCCCTTCTTACTGAATGCCACATGTAGGGTCCACTCTGGGAGCTGTAATAAACCTGACTGACTTCTAGGATGGCTCTGCTTGTGAAAGCAGTCATGCAAACTCTTACAGAACATTCAAAGCACACACAGGATATGGATGTTTCCTCTCATTTTTTGATATTGCCACAAGTAAAAATCCAAATAAGCAATGAGTCAGGGAAGAAAGGAAATACCAGTTCAACTTCATTGAGTTGGTGGTAGGACTTCATGGGGTCCCTGAAGAAACAAACCTGGTGAGTTAGGTTCCCAAATATTGTAGAAAAAAGCAGAAAGATGTAAAGCTTTATTACTATTTGAGATAGGTGCATTTACATGTATTATATCTATTCATATATTAACGCAATCCCATTTTACTGGTGAGAAAACTGGGGCTCATAGTTGTAATCAAAGCTTTCCCAAAGTCACACAGGTGGTAACAATTGGAGATGAGATATAAATCTAAGTTTGTCTGTCTTCAAAGCCTATGCTCTTGTCACAAGACCACTTTGCTTCAAAAATGAACATGAGGGTTATATCATGGGTTAAGTAAAGGCATATACACTTACAGGAATAGGCAAAAGGACAGGAAAGGGAATTAGGGAGTCAAATGCCATGCCATAAAGTACAGTATTAGATGAGAATTACTGCTATCAGGAGGATTGGAAAGAAAGAGGACCTGGGCTACTATGTTAGGACTCCCTGAGAAAGCAGAGCTGAGGCAATCAGAGAATCATAGTTCTTAGGTTTTGAAGGATCTTACAGGTTACTTAATCCAACTATCCATCTAACACTTCTACTTTCCACCCCTTGAAAACATACCTCCCAGTAGTCATCTGGTACCTGATGAAATATCTCTAGTGATGGGAGATCACTATTTGCATTTTGAAATAGATTTAACTGTTCCTTTTATGTTGAGACAAAGCCTGCCTGCTTGAGTTTCTGCTCACTGGTTCTGGTTCTGTCTTTGGAAACTCAGAGACAAGTTTTCTCCATTTTTAATCTGTCAAGGTGCCTTCACATCGTCAAAAGCATGACTACCCTGGCCTTGGAATCTTTAGAGCCTTCAGCCTCTCCTCCACAACATGAGAATGAGAAGACCATAATGGACACAAAAATGAACCCCTGGGTTTGGGGTTAGTGGTAATAGATCAGGAGCATTATGTGTTACATAGAAGGATTAGGATGTGACATCAAGAATTCAAAACCAATAAATAAGAGATAATCTCAATTGGAACATCATCACTAAAATCCATGCATCCATCCATCCATCCATCCATCCATGCATGCATACATCCATCCATCTTGCATATACTGAACATTTCCCAAGAGACTGAGATATAGGGCATTGCAGAAGAAAAAGAAAAAAAGACTAGATTCCTGACCTTGAAAACCTTATATTCGAGAAGGACTGAGGTCAGCTGGAGCTAATAAACAAAACAAACCCAACCAACCAACCAAACCTAGGGAGGAACTTATGAAATTGGAAAGGAATGCCTAGGGAGAACTGGGTATCATTTCTACACTGGAACTCATGTAGTCTAGTTTGGGAGGGAGTTGCAGAGAAATTCCCTGATAGTTAAGAAGTGAGTGGAGAAAGAAGGTGATGCCAAAGGAAGCCCTAGAGAAGCAGCTGAGTAAGTTTCATATCAATGGTTTCCCTAGGGAAGATACGCATGGAGAACTGGTCATGACTAAAAGGTGATACTTTCAGTAACAGTGCTCAGTGAAGCTCGACCCAACAGTCTTTTCCTACACCAAAGCTAAGTGTTAACCTCCCTCAGGAAATGTGAGAGAGTGAATATGTGGTAGGGCAGCAGTGACCTTAGAACTAGAAGATCTGGAGACCCATCCCTGTAGCCCTTGCCATTTATTAGCTATGTGACCATAGGGAAGTCATTTCACATCTTTAAGTCTCAATTTATTTGACTACTTAATAACATTAACACTACTCATCTCCAAGGGTTTTGTGAAGATCATGTGATATATAGTGGTGTCAGGTACAGAGCCTGATACTTAGTAAATATTCAATAATTTTCTTTCTTTCTCCTTCTTTTCTTTCTTTTTTTTTTTTAAAAAGAAGGTACAGGGACAGAAAAATAAATACATTTACAGAGTCAGTTTTCTCTTTCTGTTCACATACCTGGGCATCCACTCTGGGTAGGTTAAAAACAATTAGGAGCAGGGCCTTCTATCTATGGAAGATATTAGACCAGAATTCCCATGAATGTAACTTTCAAAGTAAAAATTTGTTTCTTATCCATACTATCTTATCTCTAACATTACCAACTCCCAGGTAAGTAGCTAAAGTAGGGATGACAATATAGGAGATTCTTCTTAAAAGCATACACAAGGTGGAGAATAGGGCCAGACACAACCCTTTCTAAGATGGATGGATATGGATGAGTTACCCCTTTATAACCATTTATCCCTTGCTGGCAAACCCACATTTTTACCTACCTTACTGCCAGGTTTGGGACCCCTCTTCTTTGGGAATTTCAAAGGTTCAGCTGACTTGGATGGGGTAGAGATGGGATGGGGAATTAGGGGCTTGGGTGTCCGGCCCCGCTTCTTTCCTGGTTTACGCCCCCTCTGCCCTGGTTGATGCTCCAGGGCAGTTTTGGTGTTGCTGTGGATGCTGGGCTTCTCAGTGTTCGCCTCGGATGCAGGATAGGGATTCTTTGGAATCACAACTGCAAGAAAAAGACTCATTCTAACACCCCCTCTTCCCACTTGCATTCCCATCCCAGCCAGAGGGAAAAAAAGACTTGCTACTTCTGCTTGGATAGTTTTATCCCAGGAAGCTAGTTTCTTGGCATCTGACCCAAATGTTAGAAAATCTCAGAGGAAAATTGATTTTTGATCGGCCAGAATTGGAAGTTTTAATTATTTCTGGCAGACGCAGAAAAAATTAAACTGTTCTCCCCAAGGAATCTAGTTAAAGCATATAAACACAGGCTCAGAGATGGAATGGATCTCACCTACAATCTTCTCCTGCTAAGAATGAAGATCTGAGGCCCAGAAGAGGAAATGATGCCTTCCCTAGGTTATACAGTGAGTTGGGATAAGGACTTATGTTTTGAAACTGGGCCCTGACAACCAAATCAGGGATTTTCTATATCAATCTACTTAAAAGTTTTAGTGTGATTACTGCAGTGAGGAGTAGTGAAACACATGGAAATATATACATCTGATAGCATATTTCCTTACCTTAAAAATCTTTGCACCATATTACCTCTAAGGTAAAGTCCAAATTCTTTATTCTGCTATCCAAAGACTTCTGTGACTCTGCCCCTGCCTTGCTCTCCAGTTATGTCTGATGTCATTTCCTATCACCCACCCCCATGTTCTAGCTCCTCTGTTTTCTGAACACCAATTCATTCATATATGTTGAGTTCTCTATTCTTCCTGGTCAGACATACATCAGTGCTCAGTTTTCAACACTCAGCTCCAGGGCCACCTCCTTACTGAGGCCTTGTCTGACTATGTCCCAACTCCATCAGTATTCTACTTACTTCAAAACATTCTGTAGACACCTATGTTAGAGTACTTTCAGTTTTACTCCAATCATTCTTCTCCTCCTTAATTGAGAATTTTTCATGGTAAGGGGTATCTAATTCATTCCACAAAGTTATTAAGCACTTACTACAGGCTATGCACTAATCTAAGCACTGGGGTAGAACAGTGAACATAACAGACATAGTTTCCACTCTCATGGAGCTTACCTCCTAGCTGGGGGAGACAGAAAATAGGCAAATAAGTATACAGTATAATGTTAGGTAAGTGCTGTGATTAAAACTAAAGAAGGTAAGGAGACAGAGGGGTGAGGAAAGTCCTCTTTGAGGAGGTGACATTTGCACAGAGCTCCCAAATGAAACAAAGGCAAAGCCTTATGAAGATCTGAGGAAGATTCAAGTAGAGGGTATATAACAAGTGCAAAGATTCTGAGATGGAAACATGTTAATGTGTTTGAGAAATGGAAAGGAGGTCAGTACAGCTGGAATTGAGTGAGCGAAGGGGAGAGTGGTGGGAGATAAGGTTAGAAAGGGAGTAGTAGTAAGATTGTGTGGGATTTTGTAGACCATGAAAACGAATCCAAACTTATTTTAAGTCTAAAGGGAAGCCACTGGAGGGTTCTGAGCAGGGTGTGACTGGGTGTACTTAAAAGGAACACTCTGGCTGTTCTGGGAGGGGACAAGAATAGAACTAGGGAGACAAGTTAATAAACTAATTACAGTGGGTAGGGAGAAGATGGTATTTCTTGTGCTTCCAGGTAGGATGTAATAGATCATGACAGTGTAACATTGCTGATGCAACAACTAGAAAAAGTCAGATAAATTATCTTTAAAAGACACTGCATTGTTGTAAAAATCATGAGGATTAGATGAACTGGAATTCCAGACCTGGGTGGAGAGGGTTCCTGAAGTAGCTGACACTGTTTTCTTTCCTGAGGACATCTGCCAAATTTGGGCATGAACTGACAGTCAGGCTTGGCCTGTGCAGAGGAGCTCCACTGGAGGAAAGAAAAATCAGAGAGGCTCTGTGACAGATTGGAACTTGAGGAGTTCCATCTGTGTGGCCAGTTTTTCCCAAGGGACATTTGCTGAGTTCTGAGCCTGCACATTGGAGCTGCAAAGCTACGCTGAGAGCATCTAAAAAGGCAGAGTGAAAACTGCTATAATCTTGTGATTTCAGGAGACAAGGTTCCACTAGAAGGAGGAGGTCTACCTCTAGCACAGCTGATCTCCTCTTCAAGATAAATGCCATATTTTGAAATTGTAAGGACTGAAAGGTCAAAGAACCAAGCCCCAAACCTCTCAAGGGTAGGACAATGTCTTGCAGTTTTTCAGGACTATGAAGATGGAGACCCATTAAGTTCTCAGTTGAGAGCCCAAGAGGGCGCAGGTGCAAGGAACACGGATATGAACCACAGGTACAATTCAGAGCTGAACTAGCTCAATCCATGATTAGACTGAGGGGATCAGGCCCTTATCCTATTAGCCTAAAGGAAAGAGGAAAGGAAGAATTCTTTCTGATGGAAAATATCAGCTGGAGTCTCAACAGTTCTTTTATATAAAATATCCAGTGTGTGTGCGTGCATGTGAGTGTGTGTATATATATACACATGACATAAAAAGAGGCAGAACAATGTGACTGGTAATCAAGAAAAATACAGACAATAGAAGACTCATGTATGATCCAGATAATGAAACAGACTTTAAGATACCCATAATTAATATGGTTTTAAAAAGTAGAGGAAAAGATGAACAAAATGTAAGAAAAGATAAGTAATACTCACAGAAAACTGGACCCTATATAAAAAATTAAATGGACACACTAGAATAAAAGATACAATATTAAAAATTAAGAACTCATTGGATAGATTTAAGGGCAGACAAGACCCAGCAGAAGAATTACTGAATTTGAAGAAAAATCAATAGAAAACATGCAAAATGAAGCAAAAATATGGAAAAAACAGGTTAGAGCATTAGAGACATGTGGACACAGTCAGTAGATCCAAAATATGAGTAACTATAATCCCAGTGAGAGAAGACAGAGAGAATGAGGTAAAAGCAATATTTGAAGACTAATGAAAAAAGAGCTCAGCAATCCACAAGCAGCAAAAATACAAAAAAAAAACAAAACCCCAAAATATACCAAAACACATCACTGTTAAACAGCTGAAAATAAAATACATAAAATACAAGTGAAATGAAAGACAAATTTTTAAAAGCAGTTAGAGAGAAAAGGATTACTCTTACAGAAGCAATTTTTTTTTTTTTTTTGGCGGTACGCGGGCCTCTCACTGTTGTGGCCTCTCCCGTTGCGGAGCACAGGCTCTGGATGCGCAGGCTCAGCGGCCATGGCTCACGGGCCCAGCCGCTCCGCGGCATGTGGGATCTTCCCAGACTGGGGCACGAACCCATGTCCCCTGCATCAGCAGGCAGACTCTCAACCACTGTGCCACCAGGGAAGCCCAGAAGCGATAGTTTTAAATGATAGTTTTCAAGGGCTAAAATATATAAATTGCCAACCTAGAGTTCTATGCTCAGTGAAAATATCCTTCAAAAATGAAGGTGAAATAGTATGGAAACAATCTAAGTGTCTATCAACAGATGAATAGATAAAGAAGATGTGGTGTGTATATATATATATATATATATATATATATATGATATATATATATATTCTCTCTCTCTCTCTATATAGAACAGAATACTACTCAGCCATAAAAAAGTGAAATTTTTGCCATTTGCAGCAACATGGATAGACCTGGAGAGCATTATGCTAAGTGAAATAAGTCAGACAGAGAAAGACAAATGCTATATGCTATCACTTATATGTGGAATCTAAAAAATACAACAATCTAGTGAATAAAACAAAAAAAGAAGCAGACTCACAGATATAGAGAACAAACTAGTGATTACCAGTAAGGGAGGGGAGGGGCAACATAGGGATAGGGGGAAGAAACAGGGTTACCATGCAATTATAAAAAATCATCTGTGTGAAACTTTTGAAAATTGTAAAGCACTACAGAATTTAAAGAATCTTTCATTCAATTAAAATTTTTTAATAAAATGAAGGTGAAATAACCATTTCAGAAAAATCAAAGCTGAGAGAATTTGTCACTAACAGACCTAAACTACAGGAAATAAAAACGAAGTTCTTCAGGATGAAGGAAAGTAATCACAGATGGAAAAAATACAACTGCAGGAAGGAAGGAAGAGCATAAGAAAGGGTAAATATGTGGATAGATACAAGAGAATATTGACAATTTAGAAAAAGAATTTTAAAAATGGCTTGTAGGGTTTATAATATATGTATAGTTGACCCCTGAAAAACAAGGGTTTGAACTGTGTGTATCCACTTGTATGCAGACTTTTTCAACAAACATATACTACAGTACTGCATGATCCACAGTTGGTTAAATCCATAGATGTGGAACCATGGATAAGGAGGGCTGACTGTGAAGTTACATACAGATTTGACTGTACAAGGGGGTGGTGCCCCTAATCTGCACATTGTTCAAAGGTCAACTGTATTAGTAAATTATATGAAAGCAATAGCAGAAAGGATGGAAGTGGGAGGGTAAATGGAGCCCAAATTTGCTAAGAACTTTGCATTATTTGGGGAGTGGCTAGAGTGCTTATTTAAGATTAACTTTAATAAGTCCAGGATGTATAATTCTAACTAGTTAAAAAATTATAACAAGAATGTATCACTAAAAGCTAAGGAGAGAGGAATGGAATAATAAAACACACTCGATTAATCCAAAAGAAGGCAAGAAAGGAGGAACAAAGAAATGAGGAGGAACTTAGGCAAAGAGAAAACGAAAAGCAAAATGCAAAATGGTAGACTTAAACCCAAATAAATAATTAAATTAAATACAAGTGGTTTGAATAAAGCAATAAGAAAAAATTAACATACAGGAGCAAAGCCCCACCCCCCACCGAACCCGATTATATGTGTTTATAAGATGGCATTGAAATAAGAAAACTTAAAATATGACGACACAGGAAGATAAAAAACAAACAGATGGAAAAATATACACTCTGTGAACATTAACCAAAGAAAGTGCAAGTGGCTATATTAATATCAGACAAGACAGTCCTAATACAAGAAGTATGACTAGACTAAAAGGGACATTTCCTCAAGAGAAAACAGTCAATTCATATCGCCAAAACAAAAAGGC